GGGGGGGGGAAGGAGGAGGGAGAAGAAATCGACGAGAAGATCGGTGAAATCGTGCACTTGGCGAATCGATGGCAGCAATTTCGCGAGCGTGCGTTTATCGCGTTTAATGCTCCATTTGTTTCGCCGCAGGGCATCCCACCGTCGTCATCACTCTCTGCGGCCAGCATCATCTCCGAGGCCGCATTACTTTGATTTTTTTGTTGAAATGTCGGAGCAAAACAGAACGTGAAAAAAAAATTATCGAATCAATCGCGATGAATTCGTGATTCCGATGGCACAATATCGCAATCAGAACTGAAGAAAATACTATTCAAACCACTTTTTGAAATATTCCTGACTGATAGAATACAATTCAGTAGCGAAGTGGCAAAACGGTTCAAGTTGACTCATTTCCCAGTTGTGTTTTTGAGGAATATTTCCGAATCTACGGGAGATAGCGAAATTATCGTAATTACATTTGTTGTAGCTCTCAATCGGCTCTACAAAAAAGGTTATAACAACAATTTTTCTATCTCCCTTAGATTCCGGGATATTCATTGAAAACTGGTCAATAGTCAAAACTGACTTGTACCGTTTTATCACTTCGCGACTGAATTATACCATTTCTTCTTTTATTTAATTGAAATTATAATTTATAAATGTGAAATGACGATTTCACTTCCGCAAAAAGAAATTTTTAAAAAGATTTTGTTTCCGTTTGAAAAAGACGAATGAATAGATAAATAAATATTTCGAATTTTTATTTATAATTCTCACAAAATAATTCTCCGTGTATTGTCCTCCCCCAATCGATTATCGATCCCACGATTGATGAAAGAGAATCGATAATCCTCGCGTCTAACAATTAAGGCGCGTCTTACCCTTGAAGAGGGGATCGAGAGTTACTGGCTTCCTGTGCGCGAGTGGAGTGCAGTTATCAGATCTCTCGGGTTGTCATCTCGTCGAGAATTTACCGAGGGTGACCCCCCCCCCCCCCCNTCAGATCTCTCGGGTTGTCATCTCGTCGAGAATTTACCGAGGGTGACTCCCCCGGTGGAGGTGGGGATTCACGCAAACGCGTGCGAGACCGCTATCGTTCCCGGAACATCTCGCGATCCTCGCGACTTTTCACGCGTCACAAAATTACGCGAGCTTTTCGTGGATTTATTATTTTGTGGTTATCACTTCTTACTTCAACTGAGTGAAATGAGGGGACTAATAGTTTATGGGCATTCTTGGAGAGCAACGGGATTAAATAACTCCGGAATTAACAACTAATTCTGTTCATAAGAATTAAATTGATAAAAAATAACTCTCTTTATTGTCTCGAGAATTAATAGATCAAAATGGGTTGTTTTGCTTTTAAAAACTTTTTATATGCATCAGGCGAAGAATTTAAGGATAATCCGTTTTACCTAGTGGTTCTTGGGATGTTTTAACAATTAATTTCAATCAATGAAAGTCATAAAAATCAAGTTTCGCGAAAAATTTCGCGATTTAATACATCAAAATAATTAGTTTTTTCTAATTTGTCTCTTCTTTTCGCTCTATTTCACGCAATCGGACCCGGAACATCTGGCGGTCCTTGCGACGTTTTACGCGAGTTTTTCGTGGATTTATTAATTTGTTGTCACTTCTTACTTCAACTGAGTGAAATGAGGGGACTAATGGTTTATGGGCATTCTTGGAGAACAACGGGATTAAATAACTCCGGAATTAACAACTAATTCTGTTCATAAAAATTAAATTGATAAAAAATAATTCTCTTTATTGTCTCGAGAATTAATAAATCAAAATTAGTGTTTTCGCCTTGCGAAGATTTTTGTATAAATCAAGACACTAATTTCTTCATAATCCGTTTTGCTCTAGTTATTCTTGAAATATTTAATAAAAATCCAGTTTCGCGAAAAAATTCGTAATTTGATGAATCAAAATAATTAGTTTTTCAATTAATTTCGTTGAATTATTTAATTATTGAATTTTTTTCAAATATTTTCATTGAAAATGATTAAAATTAATTTTCTCCATTGCCTCAAAGCTTAATAGATGGAAATGAATTGTTTTACTTTTTTCAATTTGTTATATGCATCAGGAAAAAAATGTATTTACCGATTAATTTAATCCTCCGATAAAATTGATAAAAATTCAGATTCTCAATAGTTTCGAGACTTAATAGACCACCGCCATTCATCTTTTCTAATTTATCCCCTCATTTTACTCTCATTCAGCACAAAAAATGCTCAAAAACTCCGAAAAAAATGTAAAGAGTGCATAAAAATTCATTTTGAAAATTCCCTAAAATACATTTTAAAAAATTATAATTTGCTCGACTTACCTGGCATACAGACGCAGCGAAACGTCCCCGGATCGTCAAGACAGGACCCGTCATTCTGGCAGGGATGGCTCTCGCACTCGTTGACATTAGTCTCGCATCTAGGCCCAGTGAACCCCTGCGTGCAATTACACGCGAAAGATCCAGGAGTATTAACGCAGTCGCCGTCGTGCTCACAAGGTGATCCTGCAGAGCAAAAAAAAAACCATCATCACTCCAAAATTGACGAGAACTTTCTCGCAAAGGTATGAAATCCAACGACCCGTTCCCCCCCATTATTTTTATTCTCAAAACGCACGTGAAGGCAATTGAATTCAATCGAATGGGAAAGTCTGGGAGTGCACTGTTATGGGAAGTATAATGCAGGAGTGAGATCGTTGGAGGCTGCAGTCGAGTGATAATTAAAAGGGGAATGGACGCGGGCCGCATGATTAATGCAGTTGTGGGCATTGGTTACTCTAGAAGGAAGAAGAAACTCTGTTTAAGTAACTGTCGATATAAATTTATTCGACTGAACTGAACAGAAGGCTTAATTGCTCGCATTTCTAATTCTCTTTTAATTTCTAATGAATACCCTAAGGCCTCGCCTATCTCGAGAGGACGATACGGGTCATAAAGGTGTTTTAAGAATTTTTAAAGTGCATAATTATTTATTATTTCATTTTTATGGTGCGAAATTAATGAGTTGATCGGTTAAACTCGGGAATGTGCATTTTAATCGCATAAAACGGTTTTGTCGAAATTTTTCTAGTCGTTCAGACAATATTTTTGGTGAAAATTGGTTAATTTATGTGATTGTTCATGTGAAAATGTTGTAATATATGAAATGAATAAAACATTTGTTTAGGTTCAAGGAAATTGTTTATTTTTTGTGAATAGAAACCTTCGTTTCATTCGTTTTTTCATTACAAATTCATAATTATTCATTAATTTTTCATTCATCGTCCATTTTTATATTAAAAATTTCCATATGGGAATATAATGAATTTCAGTGTCTTTCTTCACATAATTTAGATCAAGACAAATAAATGAAAATGAAGTCCTAAAGTTGTTTTAAGAATTTTTAAATTGCATAATTATTCATTCTATAATATTTATAATGCAAAATTAATGATTTGATCATTCAACACCATTTGTTTAAAATGTTTCTATTCATTTAAGCAAAATTATACTTGAAAATTAATAACTTTGTATATTTATTTCAATGAAAATATTCTAATATTTGTTTATTTGAAAGAATTATTCATGAATTTTCACTCGCTTTTATAATTAACATATCCATAAAATGTAATGAATTCCATTCACTTCCTTTTCATAATTTGAATAGAAAAAAGAAAATAAGAACATATCAATTTAGAGAGAAAAAAAATGGAAAAGAAATGAGGAAATCAGTGCAAATACACATCGCGTGTACCAAACATAAACTTTTTGACACTCTAATCACTAGATACACATGTTCCCGTAAAAGTATCTAGCCCCATTCAAACGGAGGAATTGATTTAATTGGTGACAGGATGATTGGTTCGTTAGACGCCTCAAACTCCTGTTGAATAGTGGAGAGATTTGAACAAATTAAGCGAAATGATGATAAAAAAAAAAGGGGGGCACGAAATAATTCCAGGTAAATCGAAGTGAACTGAAGCGTGATCGGGATCTCAAATCGTACGGAATCCAGGGTGCGATTACGTTCTGACCGTAGATGGACACCACGTAGCAAGAGTCGATCGGCATAAGTATGAAACAAGGTAAAACCCCGCAAGGGACACGCGATGCAACGAGAAATTTCACAGGAGGTTTATACGGGTGCACCTGCCGTCAATTATACCATATTTATCGACTTTTCCAGGGTCCGTATGCACAGCCTCGAGTGAAAATCTTTTTTTTCGCGAGATTCGACGCCAAATGGGGAGTTTTTAGTTGATTTTTGAAGAGAAAGAGAATGGAGAGATTATTCTTGTAAGAATCGGGAATTTTAGGATGAAATGTTTATTACATTATTGTTATAACGAAAGTTTCAGACACTGAAAGTCACTGGGAATTCAAATTTCAGGGGAATATCAGCGGAAAGCGTAAATTCAAAACTAGGATTTATTTAATTTCATTATTTAAACATTTGAAAAATGTATAATAAGACAAATTAATTTAATTAATGAAATTAATTTTTTTTAATTGAATAAAGTGAATTTTTCATGAAATTTTATCAATTTAATTTATTTAATTTAATTTCGTCATTTAATATTGAAAACGAAAAGTTTAAAATAATTACAATGTTTGAGGTGTTTAAAAAAAAGTTTCAAACGTGCTTCCAAAGTTTAAAATGTTGAGAATGTTTTTTTCAAACAATCTCAAAATTTTTTTCTCAAAATTCCAGATATTTCAATTGTTTAAAAATTTACATTTTTTTGTTAAAGAGATTAAATTTAATTTTCAAGAAATTTGGGGCTGAAATTTCCACTAAATTATTTAGGAATTTTCATCGCATTAAAGTAACAGTGGAATTTCAAGTAATTTTGTCATTAAAAATTCAAAATTTCAGCGAAAAATCAATGGAAACTGTAAATTTAATTTTAATTATTTCCTGAATATCCATAGAATATTCTGAAATGTTAATGTTTTCATTCAATTTTCATTTGAAGTAAAAATTATTCCCTTTCATAAAGATAAAATCCCGGAATTTCTCACGTACTGAGCCCCTCGAAGCCTAAACAATTAATTTCAATAATCTCTTCACAAAAAAAATCCCATACGGGACTCCCTTTTTTCCTCTCGTTCTTAATTAATCCAGAATTAATTGAATATGTTCCCGAAGGCTTTAATCCATCAAATCCAGCCCATAAATCATCCCCAGAGGAAGCAAATGCCATCATCAAATTGAATATGAGGCAAGAAACAGATTGAATACTTCGTTCAATTGAGATTAACACAAATTAAAGAACGCTGATGATGCAGCTTTAATTAGAGTTGGCTTATCACGGAAAAACTACACGACCAAGGGCATTTGTCAGGTGCCTTCACTTCCTCGTGCCCAGCACTAAAACCTTCCTCTGAGGCGGGGGGAAGGCCATACCACACTCGTGTAATTCCTCGTCCCGGTTTTTCCATTGTAATTGCCACCGTGTCTCATACATCGAAATACCCGCGAGCAAGAAGTACATTGTTCAGTCGTGTTTACAGTAGTACGACATTCGGAGGTGAATCAAATCAAATTGTTTGAGGTAATTTGAATTTTTTTGGTCATTAATTTTTTTAAATGTGTGAGCCAACAAATTTTTTTGAAAATTTCATGGAAAATCAAATTGTATTTTTTTAAAACTGATTTAAAATATTCTTTGTGGTAAATTCATGAATTTTTTAAATTTCATAAAATTAATTTTTATAGAAACAATATTTTTTTATAAAAATTTATCATTTCTAATTTATTTATGATAAAGCTTGTAATAATTTTCATTTTTTCGATTTTATTTTAAACTTCGAAACAATTTCAAAAAATGGGTGAGAAAGTATTCACAAAATTCATGGAAAATCACATTGTATTTTTTGAAAAAACAAAACTTTTCAAAAGTATTTTTTGTTGTAAATGAATAACGGAAATTATTTCAATTTCAAAACAATTTTTTTTGGATACAAAATTTATTATTCATTTAATTTATTCATGAAATTTTTTAAAAAATACCTGAGAAACAATTCACGGGAGAAGAAATTCACGGAGAATAGAAAATCTGAAATATCTTTCTTCCAAATGAATAATAAAAATTATTCAAACTTCATCAAAAAATTGGAATGAAAAATCGATTATGTATATTGACTACCTCCGATGACGTTAGCAGTCAAGCACAAAAAATGAAAATTGATTGTTGAAGTGATGATAGATTCACGCGTATGAGCGCTGAATAGTCGATCGATTAATATTCCCGTGTCTCGTATTGCCCGGCTAAATTGCCACCATCATACCATCTTTTCTTGACTACCCCTCCCCAGAATTTTCATCTCCAGTGATTCTGTTCACAATATCCAGGAGGAACTTAATCCACCAGAAAATACGCAATCTAGATAATAACAGAGTCGACGGGTACGGTCGAGAGGTCATTACATCGTTATTAAATTTAAAATAACGTTTTAGCGTTTAATTAGATTCGTTCGTGTGTTGTATGCTGGGGCAATACAGCTGCCATATGCAACACGATTTAACGTCGTTTCAGAGGTGTTTTGTAATCGTAATTTCCGTTTTTTCCTGTTTTTCCATTTTTTAATAGTTTCATTGTTCAAATAAAATGTTTTTCAAAAATTTTTAAAACATTTTCAACATTCTGTTAACATAAAAAAAAACAAAAATATTTAAACAATTGAAATGTTTATCATATTTTGAGAAATGTTTCAACAATGTTTCTTTTAAAACATTCTTAAAATATTTCACTCAACATTTTAAACATCTTAATTGTTTTAAAAATGGTATTCCTTTGCTGTTTTTTTTATATAAAAAAAATAAAAAATGGAAAACAATTAAAATATTTACAACGTTGTGTTAGCAAGAGCTCCCGAATATTCGCGAGTCCAGTTTATATAATAATTAAGCGTGTCACATTACGACACTGTAAACAGTGTTGCAAATGAAGAATGATTTAGTAAAACAATGAGTGAAGTAAGTTGAACTGAATTCATCCGTCAGGTTCTTAACGCTCGTAAATAAATTATTGCTCGACATTACAGCATTATCGTGGGCCACAACAGATTAAATTAAAAATGACCGCAAGAAAAAATGATTTTTTCACGCAATTGAATCGAAAAATCTGACGAATTGAAAATCTCCAAATCAATAAGGAAAGAAATATTCTCATCTGGCCAAGACGTCTTGCTTCTGGTTGTCCGAGGGATTTCCATGCATAAAGCAGGTACAAAAACACCCCCAGGTAAAGGTCCCAAAAGGGCCACCAGGAGTATCGGTTTACTTCTTGCAGCGGCGCGACGTTGCCGAATTTCTCCCGAACAATGCCCCCGCCCACCCTCTGGCATTGGTCCCCGAGGCACTTTGTGCTGCTCCAACAGGTAGTTGAAGCACACCAGCTCCCCCGAATCCGCGTTTTACGGACAAAATCCCCCGATCTGCGTTTAAATTTCGTTATTTTTTTTTTCATTCTTTTGTTGCGAGATGTAGCTGACCCAGTATCCCTGATATTTCTTGCTATGGGGTAGGATATTTCGGCGTAACACGACGCCCGGACGCCCGTAGTGGTTCTTCACTGACAAAGAGAGGGGGGAAAAAGCTGTTCAACCCAGAAAGGCTTCCTGGAAATCCTTATTAATTCATAAATCCGGATCCTCTGGTTTCCAAAACACCAAAGACAACGAGTATCTCCGGAATTTTTTTCACCGCCAAATGCTTCCCATATGGTAATTGTCCTCAATCCCCCCACCACCACCACCAACATCCTCATGACTGGATAGAAACTTTATAAATTCTTGTGGCTTAACTGCGAATAAATTGTCGGTGGGGTCCTGCGACGGGACAGTTTATACTTTACTATCTGGTAACACAGACATCTTGGCTGGGGTTGGGGAAGCGTGAATACGATCATGCGGTCTGGGGTTTTATCCTGTACTTGTAGGGACGTGTCAAAGATAAAAGGTATTAGAATAAAATTGAATGAGTTATGGATAAGACTTACAAAGAGAATTTTTTTAAGGTGAAGTGAGAATTATTTTGAGAATTATTTCACGCACATAATGGTTTTTCTTCTGGTAGAAAAACTTTATGGATTATTTTTTACTAGACGATAGATGCCAGGAAATTCTAGCATTTTTTGTCCCGTAGGGAAACTCAAATCAATCGAGAAGTTTTTATAAATTTATTTAAAATTCCAATTAATTTAGCAGCGAAGTGGTAAAACGGTACAAGTCAATTTCGACTGTTGGCCAGTTTTCAATGAATATCTCGGAATCTAAGGAAGATAGCAAAAGTTTTGTCATAACCTTTTTTGTAGAGCTGATTAAGAGCTGCAACAAATGTGATTACGAAAATTTCGCTATCTCGCTTAGATTCGGAAATATTCACCAAAAACGCAACTGGGAGATGAGTCGACTTAAACCGTTTTCTCACTTCGCTACTGAATTGCATTCCAGAGGATTCTGCACCGTTCTGGACCTTTCTTGAACTTGCTAGAACCTTCCATGAATTTTCAGAGACAGGAACATCTCAAATTACATGAAGTAAGATTCAAAAATATTTCCCAAAACTCATTTTATTCGAAATGGACGCAAAGCATTTTTCCTAAATTGCGAAGTTGATTGAAAATTTAATTTAGAATTATAAAGAAGTCTTTTTTGTAATATTTTTCCTTCAAAACATATTCTCCATCAAATAATTATAACCAAACAAACTCCTATTACATGTGATTAACCCGAAATAAAAGATCGCAATAGATAATTACATCAGCCCGTTAATAACCCCTCCCCCTCCGCCCCCCAGCTGTCCTGTTAACTTCGTTACGATGTTCTTTGCACTATATATTTTCCCATTGCATCCTGAACTTGGTTATCAGACCGATGGGATCTCCACCGGAGGCGTAACTCGGTGGGTCGCGAGAAGATAAATAATCCCTGATGATTCAGAAATAAAGTAAAACCGAAGTAAAGGAGCCCTGAGTACATAAAATATAATTAAATCCTGACAAAAAAAATATATAAATGACGCCGATAGTTCCCCGGAATTTCGAGTGCCTCGGGTGCTGTTTTTTTTTTTTGATGAAATAAAAGGATTTCGAAAGCATCAGGAAATAAAAAATACTGAACAGATGATACGTAAGAGCTGCTCCTCGCGGCACTTTAACCTCTTTTCCCTACAGTTTCATCCGCCGAGGTAAATAATGATGAAGTAGAGGATGAAGGTTTGAGAAAAGGTTTAACCAGTCGTCTCTTCCAAGTAATGCGCTTATAATTACACTCCTCGTATCCTGGACCTGACACTCGATCCTCGCGCTGGAGTGGGATGTGCGAGAGGGGTCCAGGAGTGGAGATAGAAACGCAAGAGGAAGGAAGAGAGATGGCGAGATTGAATTCTTTCTACGTATGCACGTGTGTGGGACAGTGAAGTGATCACGATTGCTCTTGGGACGAGGAGAATAGCCGAGACAAGACCACTGAGTGGACAGCATACAGTGATCGGTAGACAATTAGTCTTAATCGAGGACTTGAGGGAATGAAAGTGAATTGACTTGGTCCGAATTTCTTTGACATGATACTTGATCTTTGGATAAAGGTTAATGACACGCCGGAGAGATCAAAGTTTCGCGCTTTTAGTGAAAAAAGATCAATGAAAATATGTGAAATCTTATATTTAAGATTAGGCCCCTGCTCACTCCGCTCGCCAATCCCCACATGACCCCGATGATCCTTATTCTGACCCTTACGACCCTTAATCTGACACTCGTGATCCTCATTATACCCTTCTTGACCCTTATTTTGACCTTTCATTTCTGACCCTTAATTTTGGAGTCTAAATATCGAGCACCAAATTTTCATCACCAAAAATCGATTTGGATTTTTGAAATATAGAGAGATATTGAGACCCTTAATCTGACCCTTGTGACCTTCATTTGGATTCTTAATTTGACCCTCATTATAACCCTTAATTACTCCCATTAAGGGCCCTTCTGACCCTTTACCTGATCCTTGTGACACTTATTTATACCCTTAATCTGATCCTTGTTACCCTTATTTGAGCCCTTGATCTAACCCTGGTGACCCTTAATATTGCGACCCTTAATCTGACCCTTATTTGGACCGATAATCTGACTCTCGTGACCCTTGTGACCCTTAATTTCGGAGTCTTAATTTCCATGATCCAAATTTACAATTCCACTTCAATATGATTCGTAATTCCTTCCTCACTTCAAGGAAACAAACCTCATTCCAAAACATTGTCCACTTGAAATCAACTGTCTTCTAAAAACTAGAACCTTCTTTACTCTTTAAAAATAGGAAGAGATGATCATGTGGGGAATCCTGTAGAAGACACACAATCCGACTACAACCGAGAAAAGAAGAAGACGAGAGGAATGGGAATACACATCACGATGAGGGAATAGAAGAAAGACAAAGAGTATATCTGAAGTAAACGTAAGATGAGACACAAAAGAAGTGCTTCTGATTATTAATGAAGTGTCTTTGTCTGGGAGGAAACGCATTAACCGAGTTGCCAGGGCTTCACCTATACACTGCTGGATAACAGCGAGTTGGCTCGCCTTATTTATTATCGAGCGCCGCAAATGAAAGGGATTTACTTAGAACCATTTTACTGGCCGCTCCCTTGGCACATCTTGTATAGAGTTCTTAAGCCTCTTGCCTTCTTTCTCTTGTCCATGTTTTTCTGCGTATTTTATTTCTCCAATCGTTTTTTTTCTCATTTTATCGTCGAGGCTTTAATAGGATCGAGCATTCCAGAGGGAGTGGAAAAAAATAGCCGGGATCTATCTGTCATCCAATTCAAAACAGTTTTAGCGTCATTAATATTTGCCCTCGATAGGCGAGTAACTGAGATTAATCACGAGATGATTACGAGTCTATGCCGAGGGAATGGGGCGAGTTATCCTGCCCCTGGATGAATTTTATCGTTAATCCTGTCATCGTGATGTTCAATTGATTCACCTGATAATTACAAATGCCGAGCAATTAATATGCGTTCGAACCGGTGACAGAGATTCGATCGTTGGAAGGAAAAGATGCAAAATAATTCTCATTCTCAGTTATTTTTGCTTCAACCTAGCGTAATTATACTTAAATTAACATGAATTTTTGGTTATTTCAGGAAAATTCTGGTCCTTGAATTCAAAACGTTAGGGTTTTCTGGTCGACGCTTGAATCTACCTGTCATCCAATTCAAAACAGTTTTAGCGTCATTAATATCTGCCCTCGATAGACGAGTAACTGTGAGATTAATCACGAGATGATTACGAGTCTATGCCGAGGGAATGGGGCGAGTTATCCTGCCCCTGGATGAATTTTATCGTTAATCCTGTCATCGTGATGTTCAATTGATTCACCTGATAATTACAAATGCCGAGCAATTAATATGCGTTCGAACCGGTGACAGAGATTCGATCGTTGGAAGGAAAAGGTGGAAAATAATTCTCATCCTCAGTTATTTTTGCTTCAACCTAGCGTAATTATACTTAAATTAACATGAATTTTTGGTTATTTCAGGAAAATTCTGGTCCTTGAATTCAAAACGTTAGGGTTTTCTGGTCGACGCTTGAATCTACCTGTCATCCAATTCAAAACAGTTTTAGCGTCATTAATATCTGCCCTCGATAGACGAGTAACTGTGAGATTAATCACGAGATGATTACGAGTCTATGCCGAGGGAATGGGGCGAGTTATCCTGCCCCTGGATGAATTTTATCGTTAATCCTGTCATCGTGATGTTCAATTGATTCACCTGATAATTACAAATGCCGAGCAATTAATATGCGTTCGAACTGATGACAGAGGCTCGACAGTTGGTAGGAAACATCAGCGACAGCCAAATGCCAGAAGTTAAAAAAAAAAAAGAAAAAAATGGGAAATTGTTGTTTAAGTGCAATAGTAAATATGCGACTGCACGGTTATTAAGGTACGTCATATGCCCCACGGGGAGTGTTCGCAGAGCGTGTGTCCTGGGGCACATGAGATTACCACTCGATGATAATAATGATCTGGCCAACACACTTGGACCAACGAGACATTTCAACTTTTCTTTTTTATGTTCTGAAGAAGACGATTGCTCTCTTTTGGATCTTGATTCAGGGGATGACTTCAAACGACGAATGCATCTGGATAGATAAAATCGTGCAGGAAGAATTTATACGAGTTTTGACTGTTCGTTTTTATTTTGATGTTCGTTGAGGAGAGCTAAAGGTATCGATTGTTGATTACTTGAAGTGCTCTCCAATATTGGAAACATGTCTTTTTTCATAGAAACGCTTAGTCAACAATTAATTACCCGCCTTTGTGTACCTGGCTCGTAAATAACTCTATATGGTTTTTATTTATGACGATAGCAGACGGTCCTTACCTTGTTCGCACTCGTCAATGTCCTCCGAGCAGTCAAGGCCCTTGTAACCACTGGCACAGGAGCACGTGAATGATCCATTTATGGGGCTAGTGTCGCATATTGCACCCTGATGACACGGATTAGACGTGCATGCATCATCGAGATGACAGAGAAGACCTGAAACAAACCAATTAATCAAATAAAACCATAAAAACTCTCTCCTTTCTGAGAGCCTCAAACAGCTACAAAGAGAATAAAGGATGAAATATCGTCAATTGGTTTTTGTACCACCAACTTTTTCTTATTAAAGGGAACACTGTTGTTTGTCTCTAGGACAAAAGTGTCGAGAATACCAAACATGGGAGTCGATCGTCGTCAACCAAAGAAGGAGATCTGGTGAGGCACTTGGGGCCTTTTCGACTCTCCTTCTTCTCTATATAATCGCGATGTGGGGCCTGAAGGCATTTACGACGACATCACAAAGTCCTCACCGACAAATAATTTCAACTTCGATATAAATTACAACGACCCCCATTATGAGGGCCCCCATGTAACGAGTGGAATGACGAGTCGTCAGATTATTTCTATCAACTTTCAAGTGTCTAATCAACCATTGGAATATGGAACACCAGCCATGGGGACAGATGTCCTCTCGCCTATGCCTGTCCTCGGGCCATCCTTATACGCTATTTCTTTTTGTCCCCAGAACAGATGATGATTCTAATCATGCTCAATTGCACGTGCAATTTCTATTCTCGATTTTGTCTTTCTCGGGGGACAAGCTATTGAGTAATTGAAATTCATCGAATAAGGAGATGAGTTTGTCCCGGAGTTTATGGATTATTGATAGAATCTGGCGATGACTCACCTGTTTTGCCGTAGGTACACTGACAGTAGAAACTGCCAACTCTGTCGATACAAGTTGCACCATTGAAACAAGCTGCACCAGCGCAGTCATCGATGTTGACACTGCAGTCAGGTCCTGTCCAGCCATTTACGCATATGCAGGAGTAGCTGCCGTGTGAGTTTGTGCATGTTGCACCATTGTGACAAAGAGATGGTCTCAGGGAGCACTCGTCAACATCTAGCTCGCAGTAAGGGCCTGTAAAGGCTGGTGGACACAGGCAGGAGTACTCGTTTATTCTGTCCATACATGTGGCGCCATTTTGACAGAGGTTGCCGTGACAGTCGTCAGAGTTCACACCGCAGTCCTTTCCTTCGAAACCTGTTCATCAGAAGATAATGATTAGATGAGATTCAATATGCTGATTGGATAGGCATGATCTGTTTTTCCCCCCCTCTTTTTTGTCACGAGTAAATCGCTTGTTTTGATAGGAGGGAGGATTAGGGGATTAGCCGGCGTGACGAGAGGCCAATCTCAACTTCCTTCAAGATCAAATGTTCTGATTGTTGAAATGGCTAATGGATTGGGAACGGCCTCGGCTGACCTTGCTGACTCTACCGTAACGCCTCGAGTCTCATTGACTTCTTCGTTATTACACAATCGTCAGTTCAATCAACCACAAAGTTTGTGATCAATGTCGGAAATTCCCGGGGGAAATTAGATGCTGGTTGGAGAGCCTAATGGAGTGAGAACTCGGATGGCGAAGAATTTACTCGCAAAAAGTCCGGTGAAGACAAATTGTTTCGTTGCTTTTTGTTATCTCGAGTGGAAGGAAACCAACAAACCGCAAACTCGAAGGGGTCTCGATAAGAAGCGCGGGTGGTAAATTGATAGGAATGGAGTAAAGCGTAAATATAAAATAGGGGAGGGGGGGATGTCGAATGGCGAATACGATAGAGTCGTTCAAACGTGGGAAACAAAACCGCGAAAGTCGAGAAGATAACGAGGAAACGATACCTTCCTTCCTATAGTCCCCCCCCCCCCTGGGCACTTCCGGCTCTTATCCCTGTGCTGGGCTGCTTTTAACTAAATCATTGCATGTGCGTAATAAAAAATGGGGAAAAAATTGTTGAAAACCACAAGTCACTGGCTGAAGGGCTGTTAATTTTTGTTCTAATTACCCTCATTCCCACAGATTTAAAAGGCAACTTAAGAAATCATAAAAGTGAGTGGTAGAAAAAATTAACGAGCTCGATTCGCACCGACACTTCATACCTTAATCACGTGATTTTCCAATGCAAATCAGTTCGTTAGTTCAATTAAGTATTTCATGGATTTTCACAACTTGTTGGACCGGTCAATGAGTCGTAATGAGGTGTCGTTGGGCGGGAAAAATCTTTTGGCATTTCGCTGTTTTTAATGATGTTGGAGTATTTTTTTAAACGTGATATGTGACTTCGGGGGACTCTTTATCAAGTGATATCGACTGTCTCACTGGATGATGCACTATCGGGACTTGATCGTATATAGTTGGGACTTAATGGGCGGCATAATTTATGCCCGATAGGGTTCCACCTTAACTATCGACTATTCTATGCAGCACGACGGCGTAAAGAGGGCTTTTCTCGTGACCCACGAGTTTATTATACACCTACGGCAGCTCGGAAGGGACCATTAATATTAAGAAGTGGTGGACGATTATTCTTTTTTTTCTTCGTGAAGGCTTTATTTATCCTCTCCCTAAATATCGAGGGGGGGAGGGGACCCCGGGGACTTTTTGAGTGGCTTCCCGGAAGAATTTTAACCCGATACATCTTCCACGGAGGAATTTCCTTGAGGGCTCTCCCTCGTCTTGAGTTACAGGAGAACCCGCGGCTGATGCAGATCATTTTTCAGGAATAAATTAATCTGTTTTTGTGCTTGCGTTTTTTTTTAAAGGGGAGAGGAAAATGCCGTCCTGGTTATTTTTATCGAACCGGGGCGAATCGATTCTCGGGAATATCGACAGCGGCGGGAACAAAAGGATGGGGATAGCGAGCCAACATATTTGCCGGACGATTCGTCGCGGGTTTTTGCGGACTTCTCATCATGTTTGATTTATCCCTCCCGCTTTTAGATTTTTTTTTGCAGCTACGGTTTTTACGAGCTTGTTTTCATCAGGCAGGAGGAAAAAGGTGGGTTGCGTGCTGCGGCAGTTGATGGCGGATCGATTGAAGGATGAAAAATGTTGAGTAGTGATGGGTGAAGTGGAAGACGAATTGGGTTGATTGTTTTGGGTGTTATTGATGGGGCTGTATGAGGGGAAAATATGATCATGAATATTCTGAAGGCGTGAGAGAACAGGAAATTTTATATTGCTGAAAATTTTTACTAGATTATAATTTTGAATTTTGAAATTGTAAATTTTAGGTCGATTTTCCAGGGTAATTAATAGAAATTAAGAAAGTTCGGGTAAGGAAATTCTTGGATTTTTAATTAAGTGAAAATTGAGGGTAATTTTCAGTCAAAACCTTCGGGCAAGGAAATTCTTGAATTTTTAATTAAGTGAAAATTGAGTGAAATTTGATATTCAATATTCATGTTTAAATTAAAAGTTCAGGAATTTTTGTCTTTCTGATGCTGAAAAATTTGCAATTTCATCGAATTTTTAGTGAAAACTAAAATCATGTCTTTTCTTTTCCCCTAAATTATAGTGTCACCGAAATTGCAAGGAATTTCGTCATTGAAAAATCCAAATTTTGTGGAAAAATCTATCAAATCATAAATTTCAATTCGATTTTCCGGTAAATTTAATAGAAATCAGGAAAATTCTGCTGAATATCTTCTGGACTTTCCAATTAAGTAAAAATTCAGTAAAATTCGATACTAAATACTCGTATTTCGATTAAAATTTCATATGAATAGTGGAAATTCATCTTCCTGCTGCTCAAAAAAATTCTAGTTTCGTAGAATGACCCCTTAAATTTCAATTTCAGGATTTCTTCTCCTTCACTTCAAATTCAATATCACCCGCCTGAAAACTACTAGTCGCCCCACCCCGAAATGACAATTCTCTTCCAAAAGTGTCCACGACCTCGCCTACTTCATCACCCCCGGATTGAAATTCTCAACTATTAGAATTCAATGCTCTCATCCTCTCTAAAAAACCCCACTGAATAAAATTTGAATAATCGAAATGGTTTTCAACTCGCGGAATGTCCCCGATCTTCAAAGCTCAAAAGCCCTTTCGCGCAAGAAATAGAATGTAAAGAGGATGCAGAAGCTCCACTAATAATGCTCGCACCCTTATTTCCATAACCCACTGTCCTTCCACATTCAACTCTTTCTCAGAACCTCGATTCCTCCCTTTTATCAGTTGAGCATGCGAGGTTCGAATAAAAAGTCAATGTATAACCGAATAAAATGAATTCAGAAATAAAGAGAGAATGAAGATAAATAAAAGGAGAGGGGGATTTAAAAGGCGTAGGTGCGTCGGGACGGAAGAAACGAGCTCGCTACTTATAAATCAACGGTGGTCCCCCATAATTGCGATTGTCCGTGGTTCTGCTCTCGACCCCTCCCGTCCCTTTCGCGAGGAGCGATCTTCCTCGCGTGTTCCGTGCGTTGGGAGAGCC